AAAGTTTAACTCTAAAGTTTCTCTCTGCTTTAGAATCTTGTTTTTCCTTTAAAGAGAAGTTTAAAGAGAAGACGTAACAAATGGGTTTTGTCTTCTCAAAACAAAACGTTAATGTCTTTTGGGTTGGTTGGATATTGTGTCACATCATCCAAACAGTCAAAAGAGGGGCCAACCCTAAAGGTTCTCGAGTGGTGCATTTTTTTTTTTTTAAATACGCACTAAGGTTGTGTACTTGTGTATTTTTTATTTATCATGGTATTGAAAAAATTATAAAACTAATATTTTGACCTCAATTTGTCTGTTAAACTTTTTATTTATATTTTTTATAATTAATATTTTTCATAATTTTTATTTTTAATTAACAAACTTTGTAATTTAAAATTTATAAAAAAAACTTTTAAATTACTAATAAAATTAAAATATAAGTAAAAAATTTAATCAAATTTTAAATTATAAAAAATATTAATTGAAAATAAAAATTTTTATAAGTATTAATAAAAAGATAATATGTAAAGTATAAACAAGAGATTTGACCCATTTTGCCCCAGACGAATTTTTTTTTTTTATCTGCAAATGGGAGGTATCATTCATTCCAGAAACAGAATCAACAAAATACGGTCCGATGCACAAAGAACCTTCCAATTGGGCTAAAATCAACATTTAGCCCCTCACCTTACAAAATCGATAGGTTTTAGCCCATATCCTTATAATATGACACATTTAACCCTTTACCTTACAAAGTTAATAGGTTTTAAGACCTCACTTTATAAAGTTGGTAGCTTTTAGCCCCTTATATGTACGAATTGAAGAAACTAGCCTTTATTTAACATCAGTTTATAATATTTTATTAGTTTTGTTAATTGACTGTCAATTCTGTTAGTTGACTGTCAATTCTGTTAGTTGACTGTTAGTTCTGTTAATTAATTATTAGTATCTGTTAGCATTTTGTTAATGGAACTAACAAATAAATTGAATTTAAATTTCATGTTTTTTTATAGCGAAATGTTAACGGATGTTAATAGTCAACTAACAGAATGTTATAACTTGATGTTATGTGAGGTTTTTTTTTTTT